GGGTATGGGCACTTCAAGTCTTCCAAAGAAGTGACACTGCACGAGTGGCCAAGGTTGCCAGCAGAGGCACACTGCTGGTGGACACAGGAGCTTGTTCTTCGGTCTGCAGACCTGAGTCTCCCAACGCCGTTGAGGAACTGTACACGGTGGATGGCACTCCACTGAAGGCGTGCGGGGAAATCCGCCCTCAGCTCAGGCTTGGAGACAAGCTCAAAGAAGAAGCTCAAGTCACCTTTCAGGTGGTTGATGAACGAAAACGTCCTGTCAGTCAACAGGGCATTGGACATGGGAGCCAGTGTCCACTTTGAAAGTGACAACTGCTACATCCAATGGGCAGATGGCAGAAAAGCCACGTTTGCCAGGCAGGGCAAACAATTTCTCCTTCCTTTTGAAGAGTTGGAGCAACCTACCACCAGATATGGCAAGGTGGCAGCCATCGACGAAGCAGATGAAGATGCAATGGCAGTTCAAGCCTATGCCATGCAAGAGGATAAAGAAGCTGAGGCAGTGCAAGAATATGCCAGGCGCGAAGAAGAAGTGAGAAAGGCCAAGGAGCTTCTGGAACAAGACCCCGGTCTCTGGCAGACCTGGAGGAGGAAGCGGAACCCCCGCCACCTGTGGAGCCAGAGGGGTTGTCACAACCTATAAGCCCCACTGAGGCGCAGGTGGAATCCCACCGCCTTACACACCTGCCGTTTCAACCATGGTGTGAAGAGTGCGTGTCGGGTAAGGCCAAGCAAGATTGGCATAGGAGGGATCAACCCTCAGCACGTGAGGGAACAGGGTTGATCCAAATGGATTGCTTCTTTCTCTCTCCTGAGAAGGAGGAAGAGGTTGAAGATGAGTCAAGACTGGTCACAATCCTGTGTCTGACTGACACGGTGACAGGTTGGCCGCTGGCACTTCAACTTCCCAACAAGTCAAGCGAAGTGGCCCAGTCCAGGTGCTGTCTACAGAATGTGGACCTCTACCTGAAGAACCTTGGGTACAACAAAGTCATTCTACAGCATGATGGCGAGCCCTCAATCAGAGCACTGGCTGAGTCAATCCAAAGACATGTTGGATCCTCTGTGCGGGAGTCTCCGCCCAAGCAGCACCAGTCACAAGGAGCTGTGGAATCCATGAGTGGGTTTGTAGCAAGCCAAATCCGAGCTTTGTGGCTCGACGTCAGGAAGCGGTATCCTTCCTTGGACGTGTCCAGCAACTTGACGCCGTGGCTTGTGCACCACGCGGCATGGCTGATAGCACGTTTCCATGTGAGAGGAAAAGATGGGCTCACGCCCTACCGCCTGACAACTGGCAGCGACTACTCACACCCAGTCGCCATGCATGCTAGGCGAAGTAGTTCTAGGAAAAGTACCGACCCCCAGGCCCGGGGCAAGATGCAGCGAAGGTGGATCAAAGGCATATGGCTAGGTAAGCTGGACAGAGACGATAGCAATGTGCTCGGCACGTCGTCTGGGGTAATCGCCGTGAGATCGGTGAGAAGACTGCCAAAGGAGTCGCAGACCAGTCAAGAGTTGATGAACGACATGAAAGGAATTCCTTGGCAACCCCGCGACGGGAGCCGAGGACTTCCCAGCGGGTATCCCCCCGGACGACGACGACGCGCTAAGCTGCGTGCCCACCATGCCAGCAAGATCTGAAGCTGCAGATCCTATGCCGGCCCAAGGCCGAGCGGGCAGCCTCCGCCCTTCCGAGGTGCGGGATGGTCATCGTCGCTTCAAAGCCTTCCGGACGAACCGATGAGTCCGAGCGGACTTGGTCAAGGAGGGAAGCGAGTAAGAGATGATCAGGCAGCGCTTGCACCGGGACAAGCCGAAGCCAAGCAGTCCAGGCAAGCAGGTGTCTTGCAGCATTTGACAAATCACGAGATCTGGTCCCACATCCAAGAATGGGCCAACTCCGAGACAAGAGCAATCCAATGGCTTTGCAAAGGATAGCCACAATGTGACGGATTTCGTCGACCAATTGCTCGACCCAGAGGAGGTTACCAAAGCGCGAAAAGTCTAACTTCAAAAGCTTTGGGAGCGAGGTGCCTTCACACCCGTGCACCGCCAAGAAATCCCAAAAGGTTCACAAATCTTCTCACACAAATGGGTTGACAAATCTTCTCACACAAGTGGGTTGACAAGTGTTCCAAAGGAGCATACAAGTCACGCTTCACATGCGCTGCTCGCTACACGGCAAGCGAGGAGGAGGGATTGGACGTGTTCGTTCCAACTCCAACCCCAGAAGCGCACAATCTTCTGGAAGTCTATGCTCTGACAAAGGGTTACTACACCCGAAGTCTGGACATCGTCGCAGCCTTCTTGATTGGAGCTGACCGAGGAGCCAGCGAAGGGAAGCATGTCTACATGCGTGTGCCAGTTGAATGGCACGACATCTTCCTTGAGTGGCTAGAAACTCGCAGCCCCGAATTGAAGGATTGGTACAAGGATTCGTTCAGAGAACTTTTCTTCAGGTTGGATGGAAACCTGTACGGCAGAAGGACAGCCGGATCCGTCTATAGTCTATAGGAATGAGCTGGAGGAAATCCTCTGCTCAAGGGTTGATCCACAGCGGTATGCTTTCACTCGAGGTGAGAAAGATCCGTGTGTCTTCCGTTGTGACAAGTCAGGGGTCATCCTGATCCACCACATATAGACGACATCCGTATGGCTGGACCGAAAGAAGCTGTAAATCACTTGGTTGAAGACACCTTGAAGTCTGTGAGTTCTATGTGCAAGGAGCTTTACGTACAGTCCAAGCAGATAGCTTTGGGCAAAGTCAAGGGCACCGTGAATTGTGCCAACTTCCTCACTAAACACCCAAAGAGTGGAACGGAAGTAAGGCAAACAATGCCTGGTTTAGGCATGTATGAAGCCCGTGACGGAGAAGATGTGCTTTCTTCGAGCAAGAAGATCTCTGTCAAGGTCTCAACCGTGACCAAGCAGCATGCGTGCAAGACTCCTACGCCAGCTTGTGTTGGTTGGAGCAAAGACCAAGATCGAGCGGGAAGAACCGCCACGTCCTATCGTCAAGATGGACAACTGGTCGGGTGCATGAAGGCACTTGTTGTCCTGAGCCAAATTCAGGCTGTGGCAGGGCAGCCTACGTACTGCCTGTCCCAATACGAATGGTACGGATTGTTCTTCTTGGCCGGAATCGGCATGGGTGTGCTGATGTGGGCAATCTGGCAACTGGCAAGACAGTTCAACATTTCTGTTTTGGACTGGGTACGGCCAATCGAGCCAGAGGCTCAAGAAACGGGCCATGAGGTGCAATTGCACATCCAAGATCAGCAGATCACCTTACGAATCAGGGTGACTGCAACCGGAGACAATCAGCAGCTAACGCTGATCAATCCAGCGCCAGCGGCAACCCCGCGGTCAGAGCCAGCGGCAGACCCGCGGACACCAGCGGAAACCCCGCGGTCTCCTGAGGAACTCACTCCTCGAGGGATCGAGAGGTGGCATGAAGAACGTTGGGTCCGAGAAGCCGCAGAGACCAGAATGACCATGATCGAATGGCGCAACCAAGAAGAGTCTCTCCTACGAGGAGAACACCCCGACGGCATGTCGGACCTCCAGGACTCCGAGTCAAATGAGTCCGAGGCGGCACCAGCCAGTGCGGGCAGCACCGCTGAAGAGCGGGCAGCTCCGCCTGAGCGGGCAGATCCGCCAACCCGGGAACCGGAAAGCGAAGCCGATGCAGCCAGCATCGAGCGGAGCGACCCGTTTGCCCACATGTCTCCAGCAGAACTTGAACAGTGGAGACGGGCTGAAGACAGGTTCCTGGGGATGTAGCGTCTCACAGGCAAGTCCACTCTAAGAAGGGTGGCAACTTTCCAGGGGCAAAACACCTAGTTTAGGGCTAAGTAGCTAGCTAGGAGTAGAGATGGCATGTCATGTAAAACACTTGACGTGGCCGCAGCCCCTTTTGGCACATCCGTGCTACTCGAGGAAAAGTGAGGTGACCGAGTCAACTGTGCTGTGTTGTCACCAACTGTTTTTGAGCCCAATACGCGCCCACCGTGTAAATTTGCTGTTTGCATTTTGAAATGCAGGCAATGGGCCGAATTGGTCGATAACTGGGATCAGAAGGTCACCATTGTCAATACAAGTCTGACGGGTAAGCCTCCCTGAAGTATACGTCAGCAGCCCACATGTTGCCACACGCTGCAGCACAGCATCCAGCTGAGCCCATGCTGTCAGCACTGGGCATGGCTTTTGAGGGGTGTCAGGGTCAGGCAAACGAACCATGGCAACTAAGTAGACTTGAGAAACAGGGCCTCGGATCAAGAATTGATTTGATTGAACATGTCCAAGGTTTTCCAAGCACATGCGGGTGTAACCAAATCTCAACCACCTTATCCCATGGCTGCCCTGTGCTGAGCCAGGCCTTCTTGGTGAAGATGCCCCACAGCAGCGTGTGGCCCGAGCACACACAGCACACACATCACCCCTTAATGTGTTGAACCCAAAGGTCTGTACCGGGGACGGGCTGACATAACCACAATGTGATCCAGAAACTGCTCGAATCCATGTTTTTGCTCGAATAGCTAAAAAGCAATCGAACAGATGAAAACAGGACACACTCCCAAGTTGTATCAAATCCCCTTTGAGCAGAAATTTGTGTATCAATCGGTTCTCCAGGTCGTGACATTTTCCCACCACTGAAGACACAAAGCGCCAAACGTGGTGGGCTGCAGAAGACGACCTTAGTCACCGCGATCGGGCGATAGGGGATTCTCTCGACAGTGTCTAAATATGCAAGAATCTACCATGAAATCGAACATGGAATCCTCGGTAATTCGTTTCAGTTTGTTCCTGGTGTTGCTTCAGTTTGTTCGCCGTTCTGCGGTAGGCTTCAATGAGTAGCCCTAAAACCCAGCCGCTTAACCATTTCATTACGTAGAAAGACTATGGCAGCTGGAATTGGCGTCGAGGGCTGCCATTGAAACTGAGAAGCGCACGAGTTTCCAACAAACTGTTCTGCCCGAACACTTGCAACATATTTTGAAACGCATCATTGCCTGCTTGGATGAAGCAAACTTTCAGTTTGAAGAGACTTGCCTGTCATTTGTGCCTACATGTCGCAGACAGTTGGATTGAAGAAATTTGCGCTCCATGGCGTTCCTGGTGGAGTTGTGCAAGAGCCAGCATTTTTTCCTTCCAATTTTTCACGCAGGCCAAGCCCCACCTGCCCAGGGATTCAGGAGGCAGGGAAAGGGCGCTTAAGCATGTGACATTTTCCCATCACTGGAGACACAAAGCGCCAAACGTGGTGGGCTGCAGAAGACGACCTTAGTCACCGCGATCGGGCGATAGGGGATTCTCTCGACAGTGTCTAAATATGCAAGAATCTACCATGAAATCGAACATGGAATCCTCGGTAATTCGTTTCAGTTTGTTCCTGGTGTTGCTTCAGTTTGTTCGCCGTTCTGCGGTAGGCTTCAATGAGTAGCCCCAGATCGAATTATTACCTAGAAAGGCTCCGTGCAACCCAGTGCCAGGTCTGCAATGCAAGTTCATTCATAGCACCACCTTTCGAGCAAAAAAATCAGCCTTTCTTAAAGGCTCCTTTTAGATTGTTGGCTTGAAAATCAGATCTGGGGCGGACTTTGCCATTCAGTCAGATTTTGCCACTCCACCTTTTGACCACGGCTCAAATGGCAGCGAAAGGGTGCTTATTGAGCACTTGACATTTTCCCATCACTGAAGACACAAATCGCCAAATGCGGAGAGGTGGGCCGCAGGAGACGACCTTGGTCACCGCAATAGCTGATTTGTCATTCCTGAACATACGAATCCCTCGAAAGCAAACTAAGCCAACCGGATGTCAAACCTTTCCTGTTGAATTCTAATTCTCGCCTGTTTTTCCCGGGTATTCTCGCCTGACGTGTTTTGACGCAGAATTAAAAAATGGAATGAACAAACGGCACATGCAAGAGAAATCTCAAGCATTAATTATTCAGGGAAGATGTCTTAGACCTGCTTTGCCAAATTGCGATTCTTGCCTTCGTGGCATTTCTGAAATTTCTTGCCCGAATCGGCAGTCAAGCTATTTTTCAGCTCGCCAGAAAAAGTTATCATTCTGCCCATTCACCCCCAAATCTCTGCCTGTTGGAGGTCGCAGGTATAAGAACCAGGTCGGCCCCAGAAGTTATGCCTGGATTTGGTAAGAGAACGCTCGTGCAACGTCCTCACCAGTGGATGTGTGACTTGTCATGCATTCGAGCGTGGTGTGGGAGGATTGTAAATTGATCTGTTGCCATGGGCCCCTTGACAGGACAAATTTCAAATTAGTGAGGCAGCATGCTTTCCGCCGATATGGCCAAAGAAATCCTGGGTAAGGTAGGTTAAGGGCGACATATGAACCGTAAGGTTTGCATTATGTCACTTTTCTCCTGATTTACAGCCTTGAACTCGCAATCCTGCATGGCATTTCTTTCCTTATTAGACCACATGTTGGCAGGAGTGGCGAATGGTGTTGGTGGGCACGGGGTGGAGGCAGCTGTTGTTGGTTAGTTGAGCCAGGCGTATCATTCGATACCTTCTCTGGTACCGCCTGCAAGTCGTAAATTCAAGGTAGTGTCAATGCGCCTGTTTGGAAGAGTCTGTGAAGGTGCCGTTGCACGCTCTGTATCAAAGCAACCTAAATTATCGTCATCTGGCTTCTGGACTTCTGGACATAAAAACACAGCATGGCTTCCTGTCTCTCCTATTCTAGCACTTTCCATGGGGAGCAAGAAACTCGTTAGACAATGTTTTGCGGCCCTGCTTTACACCACCTTTTCATTCTCTCTATGATCAATGTGGATCAAACAATAGAAAGCATTGCAGGAATGCCAAGTGCGCAGACATCCAAAAACGCCACATTCAAAGATGCAGTTACCATTCACATAAAGTCATCTTAATTATGCCGCCTGGAACCAAAGCTGGCACTTTTCTTCACGCTGAAGAGTTCAATTAATGACAGGTGAATTTCGTGATGCACATGCATTGCACGTTTGCGGTGGGTTGAATGACGCCGCAGTCCATGGCAAACATCAGAAAATCTTAATTCGAACTGGCCGTAGCACTGCAGAACCAAGATTTGTCTTCCAACCGCGACAGTTGTGCAGAGATTACGTTTTTGCCTCGTCAACTTTGGACCTGATGGGGTGCTAGCAAGTGCCACAGAGTAATATGTGATTGCATTAACGGAACACTTTTCTGAAAAGTTCCTGCCATGCCGCGTTGAGCCGTTCACCGTGACTTGTCAATTCACGCAAGGGTACTGTTGGAGCAACACCTTTGTGCAGCCTCCGTCGTGAAGGTAATAGCATCCACATGTAGTTGAACCAGTCCAGTCGTTGCAGTGAGATTTTGGTCCGAAACGGTTCTTGGTGTTAGTAGGCCTAACAACGAAAAGCGGCTGGTGGGCAGTTTCAGAAAAAATCGGACGAAGCCATGAGTGCCAGAGTTTTGCTCCAGCGTGCAATTTTTGCCAGTGCGATTTTGAATGATATTCTTTCATCTTCTTTCCAGCCTAGATGGACACCAGATGGGAGCACCTTCATATCGCGTCCTGTGTAAGAGCCCGGTAGTGCAGGTTCTGCAGTATCCCTTCCCCATGCAGGAGACAGCCTGAGTGAAAGACAAGTGACGTGGACTTGCTGCAAGGATGGTTAGGGAATGCTTCACCCTGCGTCTTTTCCCTTTATAGGCTTTGTGTAGATTGCATTTCCTGATGACGCAGCTGTGAGTGAAGCTCGGGACTGCAAATTCGGGAGCGATTAGGACGCCACGGAACCGACGCGGAAAAGCCTTTCTCCCAATGGCCTGCGCCAGCCACCCAGGGTCCTCAACACTGCGACCGGAGCATTTTTGATAAGCCAAGCTCCAGGATCGAATTTTTCCATGACTAGTTAATTCATTTTCTTTGGGGCAGAGGCCGGGCAGCAACTTCACGCAGATCCGCCCAGTCTGAAAGCACCGGTACCGGTATCCTTGTCCTTGTGTGTTGCATGCAGGCCCTCAATTCCAGCTGAGGCAGGGTGTGCCTGCCTTCATGTTGTGCTCCGCATTGCCAGGCTGAGCCGGCTGGCCAAAAAGAAGTGGCAAAACTTGGTGGACAGACCGACAGGTGGCTTTCAAGAATAGCCTCATGCACCTTCCAGTAGCCCGTCCCTCAGGTTTTAACCCAGCGGTTTGCCCACGTGCTAGGCCCAAAGTTTAATTCATTGAGAAATTTCGAAACGACGGACAAGTTCTTGCTGTTGGAGAGGTTCAGAAGACCCATGTGGAACCTGGGTAGGGGAGTGGGGAAAAAGGAGCTCGGAATTCCTTTTGGAAGATTTGGAAGTTGCCAACTTGTGGCCCCTCATTTGACCCCATAATAATGCGCGTTTTGCTTAAATGTTTGGCTACAAATTTATACCCTGCCACCGTGTTTTTTAACCCAGAAAAATTCAGAAGTGACTTCAAGTACGACTTGCCTCCAGCTTCAAAGTTACAGGACAACACACTGTCACCACAGTCCCAAACCCACACAACAGCCAATGGGAAAAAGATGGAAAAAACAGTTGTCGCGTGCCTAGATGGAGGAAAGAAATGTCAACCCACAGTCTCCAGATAGCTGGTTTCTGATGGATAGAAGGGCCGGTTGAGCATTTTGATGTAGACTTCGGGGAGTGCATTTGCCACATGCACCCGCCGTATTTGAGAAGATGACTTTTTACGTGTCGTCGAGAAAGTCGCCTTGGGGTACACCGTTCACTGCACCAGCGGAGGACTGTGAGCCAGTCGAGCCCGTCCTGCAAGACATATCCCGAAGAGGTGCGAAGTGGTGGCAAGTCAAACCCATAGACAGATCAGCTTGGCTGAGCAAGTGCGAAGGGGGTCCAAAGTGCAACGTGTGCCCGTTCTTAAGCGACAACCGTGTTTACATTCATCAGTCAGGCGTTTGCTTGTAGGATCCTTTAGGCCCCGAGCACAGTGGAGCAGCTGCCTGCCTCTTCAAAGTTTATGGAGCGCACGTTAGGCTTTTGTTCTTGACTCACAAAACATCCCTCGAAGATGATGACGCGGCGGCCGTTCAGAGCATCCGCAAGCTGTGCGGCTTTCAGCAAATGTCTTGTCATGTACTTCATTTCGCGATGAAGCCGAGACATGAAATCTCCGAAATTCATGAAATTCCAACCTAGTGGTGAGAAGTTGAAGTAAAGCAGGCCGCTCATGGGCTGTCTCTAATTCTACCTTCCCCATTCCCAATAGCCGTCCCTACTTTTGCCCGTTTTAGATGTAAAATCTTCAGAAAATGATGCGGGGGACCACCAACGCCTGAGAATAATAGCAAAGTGGACATCACTCAAGGAAATGCATTCCCGGCCACGATCTCTTCGAACCAGGGCCCCGAGAAAGTTAGCTTCGAAAACATGCAGTTGAGCACACAGGGAAGTGAACGGCAGAAGAAGGACATTCTCAAGTGTTCCCTAGGGTTTGAACAACTAGTCATTGAGAGGAAGGCAATTTCCCGGGACCAGAATGACACAGAGATCCTTGCAGAGCTGATTGCCAAATACAACAGTTTCAAAGCGAATGCTGCCATCAAAAATTGGCAGATATCACCGCAACGACAAGGAATCGAAAGATGGAAAACGCTTCCACTAACATTGAATGTGCAAAATTCTCCAAGTTCCCTTTACATCTTTACAGAAACAATGCCTCTATTCCGAAAATGCGTAAAGTTCCAGGCAGGCATTTTTCATTGCAAAAGTTCTTGAACCTATCGTGGCCCTGTAGACAGGTCTGAAAACCGTTTCAAAACGTTTCAGCAAATTCAGAAAGATTCCACTTTCTAATGTGGTGATGATGCCTGCGGTGAGAACCGATTCTTTGCATGAGAACGATTCTGAGACCAGTGCGTTAGTTTTGGACATCTTCCCGTCATTCTCAGCATGCGTGTCTATCTGCACATCCAGCCTACCTTTCCCTACCCTGTGTGGAACCCTACCGGCCCACTACGTCCAGGTTCTGTGTCGCGCATTTTTTTCTCAAAAATTTGAAGGGTAGGGTTTCAGAGAGAACGTTGCGAAACACTGAAAGGTATGCTTTAAGTCGCTACCTTCCCCATTCGCATTTTTTTCCCAACCCTTCAGATTTTCGCGGAAAAAAAGTTCGCAGCAGTTGTTTCACACAAACCGACTGACATGCTGAGTACGATTCCAACAGCCAATGTGGTGAGAACGATCCCGTACACCAATGCGCTTGAGAACGATGAATGTCATGAGAACGATTCCTAATTCCTAACCCCAATGCGATGAGAACGATTCCAGAACCTCATGAGGTGAGAAGCATCAGCAAGGGCATGCCAGTCAAACCATCTTTTTTTTGTTTTGCATCGATTTCAGGACCTAGAGTAGGATCATTTTGAAGCATGCGAATGTCAGAAAAGAATGGGAGAGCCAATGTTAGAGCTGGGTCACCTAGCTGCTCTTTGCGGCCCAATCAGCAACAAGTGTGTTTTGCTTTTGGCGACTGTACCGTTGCAACTCCTTTTGCCGAGCAATACGTGCATGATGTCAATCCGATTGCGACAAAGATGCGGCTCATAGCATGCTCAACCACCCGTACATTTAATCCCTACCGTTGTGCCGGAATGTCTTTTTGCTTGGGAAAAGGTGCAGCCAAAATCGGCCACGATGCTCCCCTGTTTTCCCGACAAAAATGTAGTGTCTGAGCGGTCCTGAAAAGTTTGAAAATGCCTTGCCCATGACTATTGCCATGATTTCGGTCGCAACGACCTTCAGAAAAGTGAGAACGGCTCAGCATTTTGTCAGACCATGTCAGACCAAACGGTGTGGGTTCAAAATGGTTCAAACATGAGCTGATGCACGCAAGTCACGCAGAGGTTTCTGCACATATCAGTGCATCTTGGGATATCTGGTCGCTATTGGACAGACAGACGAAAAAGATGGGGAGCATTTTTGCCTGTTGGAATGTGTCCTCACAGCGGGGTCTAAGTGGGATCAACATGTCGAGTCGAAACAATAAATTAACATCACAGCGTAAAAGTTTGGTGATTCCAGAGCCAAATTTTCAGGAGTGCAGCTGATTGACGAGACAGCGTGGTAGTTTCTCATGAAAGTTGACCAGAGTGATGTATGAGATTCTTTGGCTCCCCATCACCTTCAAACAAACAGGTATAGGGCATTGTGTGAGTAGATGTATTCGGTCGGGCCGATGTTTGGTTTTAGACTTTAGATTCATAGAATTGTTCCATTACCTTGATGCATGTCGGCTTTGTGTGTTTGAAATGGAAGGTGGATGAAATTGGATGATTTGGATTGATGAATTAGGTTCGATGGTCGATGGGCATTCAATGAGAGATCACAACAAATCAAACTGGACGGGTGGAAATTGGACGGGTGGAAGAGAGAGAGAGAGAGATATATATATAGATATAGATAGATAGATAGATAGATCGATAGATAGATATTAATATATATATACCCATGCATTGAGTTTGGCAGGCTTGGGTGTGCATGTATCATCTTTAAGTGCTCCAATGAATGCTATCATTTTGGCTCAAGTAAACTTGAACCAAAATAGCATTCATTGCTTTTTCTTTCTTGGTCTTGGTAAGGGGTGACCTTCCCAGACCTTGATTGATTGGTTCAAACTCTACACAAGGGGTGACCTTGTATGCAGCGCAAACTCCCAGGAATCGACATCCCGGCAGCCACTGAGGCGAAGATCCTCCATGCGGCTGCGTTTTTGGAGTTCAAGAGCCACGTGGAAAGGCTGGCAAGGGAGGGGTCTGACCTGGCAGCATACACTTGCTGGATGCAAGGGGTCGAAGTTTTACACTCCCCCTATGTCGAAGATGCCTTGTTGTGTCGACGACTGCAAGCGCTGCGCAGCCCATGTTGGAGGGTTCAAGTTCCCGTGGCTTGGCTTGTGGAATAGCCGGGGAGTTGTGCTGCCTGATGATGTGGCGCCTACGGATGCTTGGGACTACTACTACCAGCACCAGGACCCCATGGACCTGCTGCTGGTGGCCGCCTACACGAGTTTCAAGGGGGCAGCCGACGTTGTGCCCCAAGACGTCTATGGGCTGCAGCTCAGATGCACAGCGGGTGACGCTGGGCAACTGGGCATGGGAGAGATGTTCGACCAGTGGAGGACCTGGATTCGATGCGTGGGCACTCACGAGCTCCTCCCGATCTTCATTGAGCCGCGCCTTTTTCCTCGGGCTCCCAGGGGGGCGACCCTGGCCAGCCTGGGGACGGGAAGGTGCACGGGCTCATCGAGCACTATGTGGCTGGTTGGAAGGCCAAGATGCAGGAGTGGCAAAGCTTGGCACTGCTTGCACAGAATGCGGTGACCCCACAAGGCGCGTGTGTTGGGCATGCTGCGTGGGGATGTGTAGTGCCTGCTTCACCTGGAGGCAGCCATGTGGACTCTGTGGAGGACGTCAGAAGATGTTTGCCGAAGGTTGACATTATGACAGAGGAGGATCCTCTGAAGTCGCCGCAGCATCTTTTTGCTCTCCGCACCTTAGCAATTTTGTTAGGGTGCAGTGCCATGGCATCAGGCGGCAAAGGCTACTATGCAGCACAGGCGGCGGCCTCATCCTCGTCAGGGGGCGACCCTGCGCCGGGATGGAGAGCAGCCGACTCTTTGATGATGATCGCTGCACAGCGTGCGCGTCAGTGGAGGGAGAATGAAGGCCTCCTGGATGACAACGACTTCTTTGCCTACGCCTACACAGACATGATCAAGTCGTTGGACTAGCCGGCCATCACGTCGCTGATGACTGGCTTCAGACGCGAGCAAGGGTGGAGGAAGAACTCATTGCAGCTGGGGCCAAAGTCGTGGAGGACAACCCCAAGGGTTCCGTCACTCTGCGCCCTGTGCGCAAGACGATCTACAAGAAGAAGCCCAAAGCCATCAACGTGGACAAGAACTTGAGTGAGGCCGTCCAGAAGAGGGTGAATGGCCTAGTCTCCATGTTCATTGGCATGGGCGCATACAAACCACCAGGCATCTTGACAGACAACCTCAAGGCTGAATGGAAGCAAACGTGCCGAAGGATTGCCGAAAAGAAGGTGAAGGACGCAGAGAAGGCCACCATCGACCGAGTGGTGAACACATGGTTGGAGCTGAGAGCCTTCTTGGAGAGTCGGGGGCGACCCGCTCCTCCTGAGATGGTGGACCTGGATCAGTTCCTGAACCATACATCGGCACCAGCTCGGGCACTCCAGGCTTTGAAGTGGATGAACAAGAATGCCGACCAAGCGCTTGAGCTGGGAAACTTGCAAGTGCCTGCAACACCCAGGGCGACTGGGCAGCGCGGGCAAGCACCAGTGGTGGAGCCACCATTAGTGCAAGCTTTGGAGGACCGCATCATGGAGATGCACGCAGTCGGAGACGAGAGGTGGTCAGTCCTCCTGGCCCCTTGGGTCATGGCGTTTGGCTGTTTGAGGTATGCGCACATAGCGCGCTCAGAACCCCGACGCCTCACTGCTGCATTCCTCCATTGCAGGTGCCCCAAAGGCAAACAAAAGCATGCTCGTGAAGGATTCGACTTTGCAGTGCCGGCGACCTTTGCCAACGGCTTCTTCTGGGCCAAGGAGGTGTTGGAGGCCTACAGGACGTTGGCACCGGCAAGGCAGCGGCTGGCGGGCCTCTGCTTTTCGGACGAAGGGCGCCCATGGACGATCCTGGAGGTGCAGGAGACGATGCAGAGTGAGATGGCTGTCTTCCTGGACAATCCAGAAGACATCACCACCTACTCTTGGCGCCGTATGGCACCGACCATCGCCCAGTTATTGGAATGCCGGCCTGAAGAAATGGCCGCCTTGGGTGACTGGCAAACCAAGGGGGACCAGCCAGATGTAGGCCAAATGGCATTCCATTACTCGTCGGCCAAGTACGCGGCGTCGATCAAGGTGAAGTCGCTGGTGTGGGGCGCAGCAGCGAAGCTAACTAGCAATCTGCTCTGGGAGGCGATCCCACAAGCAGAGCTAGATGCGGCTCGTGCCCATGGCTTGGCGGAGGCAGACAGGTTGCTGAGGCAGGACCGGCAGCCAATGTGGACCTCCTCACAAAGTTTCCAGGACGTGAGGAAGCGACTCAAGCTGTCGCAACAGTTTGTGGAAGCTGCACAACAAGCCAGGCAAGAAGCGGAAGCCGCACCTGCACCTCAGATGCCTGATCAACTCAACGGCAAGGTGCTGACAGCCACGCTGAAGAACGGCCGGGCAATATGCCCAGACTTCCAGACCGACGAGTGCCCGAACCCAGCAGACAACTGCCCGTTTGGAGCACACTTGTGTGCTATCTTGCAAAAGTCGGGACGGGCATGTGGCGGCAAACATGGTGCTGGCATATGCAATATCAAGCGAGCCGTCCGGGCCGAGTCTGCCGTGCCTGTGGCCCCCAAACCTTCTGCCACTTTGGTGCCAGCAGCTGTTGGCGAGAAGGCCCAGTTCACCAGGAAGAGGGCTGCAGCAGGGAGTGCCACAGACGATGAGGTGGCCGATGCAATGAGAGCAGCCGTGAAGAAAGCCAGGGGCAAAGCAGCTCCCAAGACCCCGCCGAAAGCCTCGGCAGTGGCAGCCCCAAAGACGCCTCCTAAGGCGATGGCCACAACCCCCAAGCGCCTTGCAGCGCCGGGCAAGCCTCAAGTGAAGACTATGCCCAAGAAAGGCCGTGAGAAGGCAACAGGCGCTACCTTGGACCCTCGGAGTCGGATCAGGTACTGCCCAGGCCCCTACCTGATCTGGACGTCCAGGAAAGGGGGCAGCATCTACTTGGCAGGGCTCCCAATGCGACAGACCGTGGACAAGTTCCCCAAGACGGCGTTGCAAATCTGCTGTTTCCCGCATGGTCCTGAGAGCCGGGGGGGGGGTGACCCTCCCGGGGGCTCAGTTGATGACCTTTGCGGCGGCCTACAGCCAGGAGCGCAACGAGCAATGGACAGATGTCTGGCCTGCAGTGAAGAACACGGTATGGCACGGAGACAACGTCGTGGTGCATTGCATCAAA